TCCATCCGTGCCTCGAGGCATCTATAACCAGGTCAGTATTGCGCATTGATGGCACGTAGGGGTTTGATGTGACGAACAATTGTAAAAAGTCCGGCCTTTCCTGGGAAAAGCCCTCCTGCGACATGCGCTGCTCCCGACCAGAGACCTCCCTGTCTGCTTGCCTCATCAAGTATCCCATGCCGTTGTCATCGCTTGTCTCTGGTAGGAAATATTTACCCAGCGAGCCTTTCAGAATCACATCACGAAAGAAACGGAAACGACCTGCAAATCCAAAGAAGACTAATCCCTCCCGCCAACTTTTGAGCATGTTGCGCTCGTCACGACTATTGTCGACGAAGCCCCAGGGGTTGGTGAAACAGACTAGCGTCATGATATCGGCCGCGAACTCTCTTAGATGAAGTTAGCCATGTCACAAGGTGTGTTACATCTTTGCTAGGGGCATGTCAATACTCACGCTACTTTGTCGGAGAGAATGACTGCCTGATTTTTCTCGGCAAATTCGGTCATCCGTTGCACAAAAAGTTGAATGTGGTCGTCGATTCGTGATTCCCAGTTGTTCTTCAACCCACCTACAGACCACTGGACAGTTCAGTAATAGTCAAAGGCGCGCCGAGGATGCAACTGATAGCGCAGAACTGTTGCAGAGACACACCGATGGACCACTGAGGGCCTTTCTCAAGGACTTATGCACACTCCCATCAATGGTCGAGAATAGGTGCGGTGGGCCAAGTGCACCGGAGCCGTAAAGGGGAGCTTTGTTATTGCATTTCGAATCCCAGTAGATATCCTTGACAGCCTTGGACTGAGGAAAAAGCAGGAGCGATGGTGCTATACGGATAGGTTTCTCAACTTCGCCGATCAGTCAGTTCTAGGTACTCTATCACTTTTCAGAATAACGGGACACTAGCTAGTGAAGCTCGTGGTAATTTCAGATGAGAGAACGAGACGGGCAACAACTCACATCCATATTTCTTGGCCAAGTACAGCAACCAATGTGGCTCAAGCCCAAGTACGGATATGATAGCGGAGCATAGTGAGAATGAAGCGGCATACCATGGGCCATGATATTTGGATAAGGGGTGTAAATACAAGTTATAGAAGATTCGTAAGATTAGTGTCGAAATTGTCGCGATAAACAAAAAAGCCCCGGTCGAGGCTAGCGAAAGCTCTGGCACATCAAGTAGCACCATAGTCACGGAGGGTTTGGAGAGAAGGTTCGGTGAGATATTGTGCATGCCTGTTACCAAAGGCTCAAGTAGGTACGTGGGATATATATACAAAGATTTCATAACACCCAGCTTTGCAGATCTCTTCCATTTTCCTCTACCTCAGTCATTAGCTGTCTTAGAGCAAGATCATATGCTTTCATATCATAACCACCTCATTCGTCTCACTTGTCTGGCCTGATATGCAGCAAGTTCCCAGTCCTACTCTGACTGCTGCCTTATACCCATTTTACAACATGCCCCTCATCGATGGCCTATCGGCAATGCGTGATCAGCCCTTGAATGCTGCTTTGAGTAGGACGGATAAGTATAGTGCTGATTGTGAACAGTGCTGCATGAATGATGCAACCCTGCATCGGTTGTTGGCTGAAGCCAGCCTCTATTGAACCTGCAGACGTGCCGAGCCGGGCAAAGGACCCATCGTTCAAGCACAACCTGCCGGATCCCGTGTCCAGGCGCCAAAAAGTCCCAAGGCGCATGTGCGTTGGCAGCCCAAACTATGGTGTGTTCATGTGCGCTGTGAGACATACATATTGACCGAAGTTGCAGAGCAATGCCATGCCTGATATTATCAACTTTCTTTCCATTTCCACACTTGAGCGTATTTCAGCAGGGAAATGAACACGTCGATCAGACCTTGCTCGAGGTATTCCGCGGACAACAGTACACAGACTGATTAGTCACGCCGTTTCCGACGCCGGAGATCCACTCCGAATCGTCTTATCTCGCTCTGGGGTTGCCGACCCCGCAGCCGATCTTATGCGGGATCTTGGAGTCCCGTGTTCACTTCGTCTTTGGCATTGAGATCCTGCTCATGTCATGTACTTTCATCTCAACAACCCAAAACCGCCGCCAAAATGTACACTGTCAATGTGGGAGACGGGCTAGACAGCCTAGACACACCTTCCATGATCGTGGATCTCGACCTCATGGAAGCAAACATCAAGAAACTATTCGACAGTCTACTTCCCACCGGAGTCAACATTCGCCCTCACCTCAAGACAACAAAGAGCGCAGTTCTTGCCGGCAAGCTTGCTGCTGCCGGTGCCAAAGGCTGCTGTGTAGCCAAAGTATCAGAAGCAGAAGCCATCACGGCGGCGGGCTTCGACGACATTCTCATTACGTGCGAAATCATCGGCAAACCGAAAGTGAAGCGTCTTGTTGAACTCTTCAAGAAGAACAAGAAGATTAGAATCGTCATCGATAGCGAAGTTGGTGCGATGGCAATCAACGACGCGTTGGAGGAGGCCGGTGTCGAGGAGCCTATCCTTACGCTGATTGACTTGGATGTTGGACTGCATCGGACTGGCGTGGCCGCAGGGGAGCCTGCCTTGGCTCTGGCGAGACACATTGGGAATCTCAAGCATCTCGACCTGATTGGTGTGCAGGGATATGAGGGCCACCTGCAGCACCTCCACGACCGGGAGGACCGAAAGAGGCAGTGCCTCGAGTCCATGAAGACGCTGACCGAGACGGCAGAAGCGCTTCGGAAAGCAGGTTTCGGCATCGAGGTAGTCACGACCGGCGGCACAGGCACCGCTGAATTCTGCGTTACTGTTCCGGGAGTCACGGAATTGCAGCCGGGATCCTTCATCTTCATGGATACGGACTACCGCAACGCCGTCGGCTCGTTCTACTCCAACAGCTTGACGCTGTTAGCGACCGTTGTCAGCAAGCAGGGCGAGCGGCAAGTGACGATTGATACGGGGTTGAAGTCGTTGACGACGGATAGCGGACTTGCTGAATGCAAAGACTGGCGCTATGCCCACGCCAACCTGGGAGACGAGCATGGTTCGCTTAGTTGGGAAGAGGGAACTCCCGCCTTGGCGGTGGGAGATCGGGTTGAGATGGTTCCCAGTCACATTGATCCAACGATTAACCTTCACGACTGGTATTACGCCCATCGTAATGGTGTCATCGAAGAAATCTGGTCGGTTGACTCCAGAGGAAAGGTGCAATAGTTTGCGGTCAGCTGCACGCCTCAAGTAGCGCCTTGAACCAAGCACGTCTGAATGATGCAAAACATAACGGGTTAGGGGTATTATGGACATGTACATAGGATATGAGATCTGATACATAATGCCCTTGGAAAAAATGAACTGAACCCGATTAGGTTGAGTATACGTCTAGGCCTTGCGTCTAAATCTTTGCTTTCGAGTGACTCCTTTCTTTCAAGTTCCTCTCAGCAGGCAAAACCATGTTCACATGAGTACTCAGAGCGATAACATCTCCACCCTGATCTAGAACAATAACCTCGAGATCTAGTCTGCCATTCCGGATAACCTTTGCCATTGTCCGAAGGAAGAGCCACTCGGCCCCCTCCTCCGGCAAAGCCTTCTTCACGTCCAAATTTAGAGCAAGGGTAGGGTACCAAAACATCTCATTCGACCGGAAAGGTGTCTGTTCTTCATCGCGCTTCGGCCTCCATGCCTCTATTACTGTCGGATACGCGTCCACAACATAGCCGAGCGATGCATTCGTAAACCTCTGGCCGTCTTTCAGCCGCAACCAGAGATCTACGATTCCACGGCGTGAGTCCTCGCGCGGAGCGTAGTACTCGAGATTGTTGTGAGCGCGGGCGTAGGACGTCGCGCGAGCATTCAGCTTTAGCTTGCGCACCCAGTGGGGGTCCTTATCCTGACCGAGGAGGGAGAAATTGGCGGTCTTGGCTGGCGGAGTCATCGCCCAGCCGCTCTCCAGCGTCAGGCCCTTCTCGACAGTCAAGCGCTTATTGATCAAGTAGGCGACGACCTCTTTTCTGGAAGACGGAGTAAACCAGGGAGCTGATGATTGGAGATCATGTTGATAGAGGGAGACGTGCAACGTTGAAAGGTTGCGGCCGAGCTTGACTTCATCGACGATGAGAATTGCAGGACCAATCTCCGTGCGATTGACGTACTCAAAATGCGCCGAGATTGAGTCGGGTTGTCCGCGTGCTGTGAGATGCTGCGATGCCGCACAGAGAATCACCGATGCGACGTAGCCGCCATTCGGAACTGCGCGCTGTCAATGATGAGCTCTATGGGCGTAGAGAAAAATCAACTGACCTGAACCGGTGCACCAGCTGGGAACCAAGTTTGCTCCGTACACATTGGGGCCGAGTTTTGTTATTGTCGTAGCACTTGAGAATGTTACAAGCTCCTCAGACGCCATGACATCAATAGGATCCAGCTGATTTCAAGGGTCAAAGTCTCGTCCTCTTCGCCAAGAGACTCAATTGCAGGGATGCTGATTGGCTTTGCAACAACGCCGGTCAGTGAGGCGACAAGGCCGTTCAATAGATGGAGGATATGTCTGAGTTTAGGATCAGTAATACACGAAAAGAACGTGGATGAAGACGAACTATCGTCGAGTCGCTGGAATCCGGGGAAGCTCCTGGGGTATCGGCGGTGTGGGCCCGGTTCTCGAACGCTTGTTGGCTCTCACTTTGTCCATCTCTAGAATCAGAGAGGGCGGGCGGAGTTCATACCGAACCCGTTCCTGAGTGAGGAAGCCTCGGCTTTGCACATGTCACCTGACTCAAGCCCGCTCAATCTGGTCATCACTCAATGAGCTTGGGGGCGTCTGGCCACTTCTGAACAACAAATTGCTTTTGCCTCGGTAAGTGGACCTAAGGGAGCCATCAGCGCACGCCGCCAAGCTCACTTTTGAGTACCTAGCGTGAGTGAGATGTGTCTCACTCTCGCTCTCAGTGGCTCACACTCATAACTGAAAGCCCCCTAAAAAGCCCACACAGGGCGGCGCCATGAGTCCATGACTGGTGTGAGATTTGAGGCGCCACACAACGCGCAATGCGATCCTCCCAGGCACGCCAGGTTAAAGTAACGGATCCTCCGTGGACTATGCCCAACGCCGGCCGTCGTACGGTTTTCAGGCTACTGCTCCGATGCGAGTCCCAACAGTTAGGTTCCTGGGTCCACGGCGCGTCCCAACAACGGCGTGGCCGCGGGACGCCTACCGAGTCTCCGGGCCTTTGATAAGATTTTATCGCCGAGATGAGATCAGTCATCAGAAAATGGGTCTGACGTTCAAGATATGAAGGCTGACGCTCCCTCCTCGCGAATATGCAGCTGATGCCCAAACCTTCTGCTCAAGTTTTCTCACCAAAGTCTAAGTCTGCTCGCTTACTATCTCACTATTGTTGTTGTCTCATTGCTCGTGGTCCACGCCCCAAGAAGCCCTCAAAATGGCACCGAAATCAGACCCGTTCCCAGGCTTCACGGCCATCACCGACCAGATTTTCTATCGGGAGGGCGAACCAGTAACAGAGGGCACGCAGTCACCAGCAGATCACCCAAGGGTCGTCATCATCTACAGCTGGGGCGACGCCATACCGAAACACGTCTCCAAATACGCCGATGGATTCCGCGCACTCTTTCCGCACGCAAAACAGATCGCCGTGCTCTCGCCAATCGTTAAAGCCATGAGAGAGGACCTCCAGACCCGCTCAAACAACATGAAGCCCATCATCGAAGCCGCCTATCCCTCAGCAACGTCCGGAACACCAGACCCCAACGAAGACGCGGTCCTCATGCATGTCATGTCCAACACTGGCGGCATCAACTACGCTGGAACGCTGCATGCCTACCAAGAGAGATTCGGTCGCCCCATGCCGCATCGCCTGTCTAGCTACGACTCGACGCCCGGCAGCGTGATCATGACCTGGAACAACCTCAAGCGCTGGTCTCTGGCCATGACCCTCGGGACCGCCGGCTGGTTTCCCTGGCCGTTCGTTGTGACACAGTGCATCATGGGCGTCTTCCTTCTTCTGAACCACAGCTTCGAGCACCTCACCGGCCGCGAAAGCGCGCCTGTCTTCAGCGTTGCTGCCATTGGCGATACGAAATATGTTTCGAAGGGATCACGCAAGCTGTATCTGTATAGCAAGGAGGATCCGCTCATTGGCTGGGAGGATATCGAGGAGAACATGGCCGAGTCGAAGGGCAAGGGCTACGCCTACGATGCGGTGCGTTTCGAGGGCAGTGGCCATGTTGGGCATATGCGGATGCATCCTGACCAGTACTGGAACGCTATTGCATCGGCTTGGAAAGAAACGTGAGGCTCCTGAAGGACTTGCTATGAAGGACATGTGGTTGGCACTGGTATTGATGCGTGTTGTTCTTCACGTCATGTCCTCGAACGCACGATGGGCTTGGCCGGAATAATAGCAGATTTCATCGTGTGCTAAAAGACTCTGCCCGGGCGCAGAAAGAATAGACTTATGATAATAATGAGAATAAATTAAGCAATGATGAGCGGTCGCGCCGGGTATGACGTCAATATTGACTCTCCCCATTCTCAGCTGATTCACAGATTTCGACTTACATTTTTTTTTCTCCTTCTGCCCGAAACAGGTCTGTGACTGAATATCACAGCTTGCCCTACAGATATTCACCAACAAACCTACCCAAAGAAGAGATCCACGCTCGAACACACGATCATGGGCTCCAAAGCCAGCCTAGCGCCCTTAGCATCACTGCGCGTGTCCAAGCACTTCATCCCGGCACATGAGCTGTTTCCAAATACAAGCATCCAAAACAAACCCCTATTGATCTATCACTCCGCCTTCTTGTCAGCGGGTGCATCGGCCATCGAATCTCACCTTACCTCCCTTGGTGTTGTCGAGCCACAGTGGCGTTATACCATGTACAGAACGAGTCACTTTCACAGTACAACGCACGAAGTCCTGAGCATTAGTCATGGGCGCGCTAAGCTTTGCTTTGGGGGCGAAGACAATGGAGGCCGGATTGAGCCTCTGGTTGAGAAGGGCGATGTGATCATTGTACCGGCTGGTGTTTCTCACCGCCTACTGGATGATTTGGGCAGCGAGTTCGAAATGGTTGGAAGTTATCCGAAAGGTTGTCACTGGGATATGTGCTACGGCAAAAGGGGCGAAGAAGGAAAGGTTGATGCCATTGCTGAGGTACCGTGGTTTAGCAGAGATCCGATATATGGAGATCATGGGCCAGTCGTAGAGGTATGATGTCTTGTGGCAATTTGACAGCTGCAGGCTTGCCAACATCAACAGTATTGTTGACACATGCATGATCCCAACAAGTTCCAGAACGTGACGCGCAACACAATGTCTTGATGCTAAACTTCCTACCGACAACATAATCCGAAATTTGACAAGTATCAGAAGAATAGCCCGAACTCCGCTCAGTATGCAGGATGCAGAAACATTTGACGCCAAAAGAACACATATTATCCACACCAACATAGACATTCCACACCATCATGGCAGCATGCTCTCATAACACATCACAAGCATCCAAAGAATGACACCGCGTAATGATCATGACCCATAGACATCAAACCACCATTCCCTGGTCGGCCGTATGAAGTGCTCTGCTCTCACTTGCGTATTGCAGACCAAACACCGACGAGGCCAGCGACCGGCCACGTGATTGCCAGCCTGTCTTTCAACGACTTTCTCCTTCGTTCCTTGCTCACATCTACCGTAATCTTGTCATAAACCGTCGGTAAACTCGTCGCGCTGTACCGATCTCGCAGTTTTGTGTACCAATCCTTGTCGTATACGTCCCAGAATTGCGACTCCGTGTAGTACGCGTGAGAGTACAACACCTTGCGCCCGCCTAGCTCCATGACCTTCGCCTCGAGATCTCGGTTCTGACGGACGAACCTGTCAATCTTCTTTGACGACGCTCCCCACACGCCCACATTGAGCATCGGTTGCGGCGTCTCTCCTCCAGGCTCCATCGTGTAGGGGTGGAAGCCGACGGTCTCAGTGGCACGCAGGGGGCAGAGCCAGAGTGGCCATATTTCGAGATTGTCTGCCACGTAGTCAATGAATTCTTGGACTGTGGTGTATGGCAGCGATAGGTCGTGAACCGTATATTTGAACGTCATTCGGCTGTTGCCGCTTAGGCCGGCTTTGTATAGTGTCCTCGTGTCCATGAGTCGGTTCAGAGCCCGCCGAGTGAGTCGATTGAAGGGGACGAAGCCGAAGTATTTGAAGGCCAGCTCGCCCATCCAGAATGCACCCCGGTCGTAGCGAAATAAGTAATCCTGCAGCGGTACATAATCCGGCGTCGGTGTGCCATTTGTAATTCGCTTCCGTGCATGCAGATAGAACCAAGGATCCTTGGATCTACTGAACGTCTGTGGCTGGCATTTGTCGGGCAGATCATCTGTCATATGACCCGTAACAACAGCGGCGCTCGTCCTCGAGAAGACTAATCCTTCGACGTAGTCATTGTGCGCCAGATTCGTCTCCCGTTGTATCGCGGCAACGGTTTCCGGAATCGTCGAGTACGAGTGATAGCTGAGCTTGACGAATTGCTTGGCCTTTAGCAAACGCAGCTCCAGTTTTGTGACGATACCAAGGGTCCCCAGGGCCCCTGCCGCACCCTTGAAGAGATCTGGATTCTCGGTCTGGGAGGCATTGACGACCTCCCCACTCGCGAGGATCATTTCTACAGACTGCACTGTCTGGTCAAAATATCCGTAGCGAAAAGAGCTGCTCTCTCCGGCTGACCCGGCGAAGCCGCCGCCGACAGTGATGCCCGGAAACTCCATAACGACAGGCGGGACAAATCCGCACCGATAGGTGGCTGCGACGAGCTGGTCCATGGGGACATTGGGCTCGACTACGGCGACGGCGGCCGCAGTATCGATGTGTAGAACATGATGCAGCTCGCTGATATCGACGACGCGCTGATGGTGGGCGGGTCTGGTGCTGCTTGTGGAACCGTGGAAGATGCGGAAAGGTTCCCGGCGCGAGTGGAAGTCCTTTACGACCTCAGCGATGCGCTTGACCGCTGCGTTATGGTCTTCCATTTGAGTGTGGCCCGGAAGCTGACAGCGAGAAAAGCTGCAGAACGGAAACTCTGCTGAAGACAATCCTCGAAGCTGCGATCCGACGACAGCTTGGAGATCTGGGGTTCCGGAGAACGGAAAGTCAATTGTCAAGATGTCATTGAGAACGGACGGATGCAACGCTGTGTGGCTAAGGCAAGTTGTAACGAGGATTGTCAGAAGTTGGCATGACCCACTCCGGACAGCTGGGTACACCGTCATTGGGCCTTTTCCACGATGCATTGACGATGACTAAGACAGGGATTTCTCTGTTATGAGCGCTAGGATCCGTGACGGATCGATAATCTTAACCCTGCATGATGTTGTAGATTGAACTGAGATCACTGACTGACTCCTTTTGTGGGCTGGGTTGTTGCTGATGTCTGTCGTCATTGAAGCTAGTATGCAGTTTCTATATGTCGATGCCACATCGAAAGCCTTCCTTTCTCGCAGCGACTACGTCACTTGCTCTCGGTGTCTTTCTTTTCATCACCCTCACCAGGAATCTTCTTTAGTCCGATACCAGCAACGCCAATGACACTCGCCGCGGCCATGACAGCAGCAACTATGAATGTCCTTGTGATGGCATGATTATATACCTGTAGTAGTGTACCAAACTGGTTCGGAGATACCAAATCTCTAAGTTGGGTTGCCCCCGAGGTTCTAATTGCTTGGGCATCGACCCCTGGGATATTGGAGGTTATTCCCGACGTTAATGTGCTTGCGAACACGGCTTGGGCAACTGTGATGGCAGTGGTAGGGCCGAAGCATTGGAAGAATAGTACCACTGCCACTCCTATGGCGACGTCGGCCTCTTCCAGACTGCTCTGGACAGCGACCGCTGCTTGCTGTGTTGATGCCCCAATACCAAGCCCGGCGATGACTTGAAAGGGAATCCAGAGGTTCGCGCCTGAAGATACCTTGAGCGTCGAAAGAAGACCGGCGCCAACAGAGACAAGAACGGTACCAGCGAGCATAAAAGGCTGGTAGTAACCCGTCTTTGTGACACCCCAGCCGCTGAGGAAAATGGTGAGGATAAATGCTAGACACAAGGCCAGGTATCGAACTCCAGACTGCTCGGGCGTGGCACCCTGAATGGCCTGGAACCAGAGAGGTACCTACAAGAGATGTTAGCTAGTTTTCTGTGCTGAACAATACCGTGAAAAAATCAGGCATCATACGTAGTAAACGAGAGTAAAAAAGGCACTGTCCAGGCAAAACCCGAAAAAGGCCCCAAAAATGACCACACGCATCTTAGCCAGGCGCGGCGGCACCAGCGCCTTTTCGCCCATCCACCACTGTTCGGCCACAAAGCCGATGACGAGAATGCCGGCAACGACAAAGCAAGCAATGGTTCGTTTGTCACCCCAGGTGAAGAGCGCGCCTCCGAATTGGAGGGCAAGGAGGAATGAGGTAATCCCTGGCAGTAAGAGGAGCATGCCAAGATAATCCAAGCCCCGGATTTTCTGCAGCCAAGGCCGCCGCTGTTCCTCGGTTGGTGGAGAGGACTTGACCAGAAACAACGTCGCGAGAGCAGGTGGTGCGGCGATTGGAAGGTTGATGTAAAAACACCTGAGACCGATGTGATATTAGCAAGGTAAATGTTGTATGTCGAGCAAATCAAAGCAATGGGATGCCACTCACCATCTCCACGTGAGGTAGCTGTTCGTGATAACGCCGCCTACCACCGGCCCGAGAACAGCGGCAACGCCATAGACCATTCCTATGGCACCTACGTACGTCGGCAGATGTTTTGCAGGAAGGGCTGCTGAGATGAGTACCAAGCAGCCGCTTTGAAGGCCGGATGCACCGAGGCCGGCGACGGCGCGTCCGACGATGAAGACTGCTGAGCTCGGGCTCACTGCGCATATGAGGGACCCAATCTCGAATATGACGAGAGAGATCACGAAAATGATCTTGACATTGAACTGGTTGTACAGGCGTCCGAAGATGAGTTGGAATGCGCAAAGAGTCATTTGATATGCTGAGCCATACCACTATAGGCTTATTAGCTGCATTTCGCTGGATTGGAGTCTGTTCATGGAATGCAATGCGACTTACACCGACGTCTGTGAGAGACCCAAACTCATCAGTGATGCGCGGAATGGCTGTCGCAATGATGCCTTCATCGAGGAAAGTACACAAAACACCAAGTGCAATCGCTAACCAAATGACGAATATCTTCCATCCCGGAAGGCTCTCACTTTCCTTGGTGTGCGTCTCTTCAGAATGGGATTCATCGGACTGAGTGCTGCTGTCGAGCACATTACCCTTCTCCTGCTGGGAGTCCATATTAACGCCGACTGTCTCAAGAGCAGGCGATTGTTCAGAAACCATGGAGAAGATCTGAGAAGTTCTACACGTCAAAAGATAGAAGAGAACTCCAGCATAAGCAGATGCAACGGGAACACCTGGGTGTCCCACAGTCGTATTCACCTTTGCAGAGCGGCGAGTTCTGAAGTGCCTTGGTTCTATTTCGAGAATAGCACGGCGGAACCTCAGTAGAAGTCTCGCCCCGCTGCACCGGCTGACCGCCATGAGAGGATTCAAGCCTAGACATGGATCCCATCACACTGCCCCCAACCCGCATCCGGAAGGCCAAAACGAACCTCATGGGTAGATGTTGTGGATGTCTGAGGGGTAAGACAAAGCTCGACATTTCTCATGTTCGAAAATCCACGATATCGGCTGCCGGGACGAATCCGAAGCTGCCTTATCGCTGACCACCCCCAGCAGAATTGCGACTACCCCTCTCACTCAATGGGGCCGAAGGATTCGTGACTCGGTTACTAGTCACCAGCTCCAGGCACCTGCATCAAAACTCGTTCTTTCAAGCATTTTTCGTCATGGAGAGTGAGATCGATTATTGGTTCCCGAGGCACGGGAAGAATCTATGCGAACTGAGAAACCCGGAGACCCGCTTACAAACCCATGCAAGGCACAGCATGCAACCACTTTAGAATGCATGCACTACAAAAGAACCGATGGGGGTCAAAGGATTTCCAGCCTTTCGGCGTGGCGAGGCATCACCGCATCGCTGACGAATGAGTGGGATCACTCACCCAATAGTTGGAGTTATGTCGCCAAATCAGTCAGCCTTTTGCTCGATATTACTTGAGACTTTGGCATATTGAGTCTTGACAGAGACATATGATTCAGGGCAGAGTCTCGAGTAACCAATCGGAACGCGTCCAAGTCGACTCCGGACGTCAAAGAAGGCGCGTAACTGTTGTACAGTGTCAACTCATTGCACTCCAAGATGAATAGACACGGCAGTATAATGCCGAGAAATGTCGCACTCCACCTTCTTTCTGTTTATGAGCAATGACCAAATAATCAAAGAAAGATCAGGAGTCAAAGGTTGCTGTTCTAGATTCAAAAGGAGGGGCTACGGCAACCCCGGTCTTATGAGAGTCACCCTATCTCGGGCGACCACAACGTGAGAATCCCCATGAGATGGCGCAGCATCGAAGGATTGACGGTGTGAGAGGTTCCGGGATCTTTTCCTGTTTGAGCAGGTTGTGAAAGACCGGCGACCAGTCTAGAATACCTGATTTGGACAACCCGAAGACTGCTTGTTGTAAGTCTTGGCCTAAGGTACCTTACCCGAGGAGGCGTCGTCTGGGCTGTTCCGTGGTACGCGCGGTCTGAGTATGGCGACATGGACGGGAACTATCACGGGAGCCAGTCGATTAGACTGAGAGCTACTTGTGACGTTGAAGGATTTTCTGTGGCCCCATGTCTAACCTTCTCGGAGTCGAGACACGCAAAGGTCCCGAATCGAGTCCGAAGGAGCGATGACAGATCTTACAGTATCATTCATACATGTACGGAAGCCAAGTGGTAAGGTCCTGCATCGACTCAAAGATACTTTCTCCGTACAATCACCGTACTTTATACAAACAACACTCTCCAAGACCTTCCCGCCTTGGCGCCACGCTTCCAGGCTTACATCGTGCATGCATCGCCAGTAACTGCATCGCTGCAACCAAGCCAAATCTTCAATATGTTATCCGCAGACGGGAAATGGAAGCTCACGCCTCGACTTCACTCTGTCAAATTTGTTTTCGATGCTCCGACCCCGGCAGATGCAAAGACACCGGACGAGATCTTCTTTGACAATCCATTCCCTGTGGATATCCCAGGCGTGCCTGAGCGGTTTGTCTTCAAGACACCCACAATCCACGAGTCCAACCAGGAGGTTATCGGTCTTCAGACAACGGCCACGCGTGATGAAGGTGACCTCGATGCCAGTGTCTCATATGACGGACAGGCATCTGATGTGCCAACAAGTATAGAGAGCTTGACACTATCGACCGACAATCGAACTAAGACTACGTCTGGCGAATCACAGCTAGGGTCGAACACTCATCTTCGTGGTCCTACTTGCGACGCACCAGATGACGCGAAGTCGATAGTGTGCTCAGCCTGGGCCTTGGTCCTTTCTACATTCATTGACAGCCAAGTAGTCAACTTCGATGTGTGCGTCTCGAGCAGTGATAGTTCTAAGCTCGCGAGCAGCGTGTCACCGGTCACAGTCTCTATTGACACTCATATTTCGGTTGCGACATTCCTACAGCAAGTCAAAGATGAATGGACTGTAACCAGAGCAGCCAGCCAAAGGCTCGAGGCTTTCCATGAGACCGGGAGCGAACCATTCTCTAAAACGCTTGTCAACTTTTCAACGACCGTTCAACATCAGCAACAGCCAGTCAACGCCGCCAACTTCGCCTTTCAGCTTCATTGTCTCGTCGAGGGCAACGATCTACAGCTATCTGCGACATTCAATGAGTTCTCTATTACCAAGGCAAGAGTTCGCCTGCTACTGAGTGATTTGGAGCACGTTATTTGGCAGTTGGCCAACTCGACCGGAGAGCACTCCGCTCTTGCGGATGTATATGTCATGAGTCCAGCGAGTCAACGGCATCTTGTCAAATTGAACAGACCGTAAGTTTCGTTCACTTCCACAGTCTACGATTATACTATTTTCGTGCCTATTTAACGTGAGAAAGGCTCCCGACAAGAGAAGAACATCTCGTTCAAGATTTGATAGCACAGCATGCCAGATCAAATCCTCATGCACAGGCTATCTGCGCTTGGGACGGTGATTTGTCGTATTCTGAGTTGCAGCGTGCATCAGAGGCTCTAGCGACGCATCTTGCCAGTCTTGGAGTTGAGCCCGAGGTGATGGTCCCGATCATCTTCGAAAAGTCTGTCTACAGTATCATCTCCATTCTGGGTGTGGTGATGGCTGGCGGAGCTGTCGTAGTCTTGGATCCCTCGCTTCCTGCAGCCCGAATCAGCATGATCATCAAGGACCTGGATGCCAAGGTCGTTGTATCGTCCATCGACAGCAAAAGCAAGATCCCACCACAAATCCAACAGGAGAACCGCGTATTGGTCGACCGGGCTTTTTTGGACAGTTTGTCTACCGCACGACAATTTCCGCTGAAACACATCTCGTCTTCTCCTATCGATACACTGTACGTTGTGTACACAAGTGGTTCTACCGGAAAGCCAAAAGGTGTTGTGATCACTCATGAAGCATTTTGTTCCAGCGCCAAGGGTTTCACCAAAGCCATCCGCCTCGACTCTCCCACCTGCCGGGTCTTGCAGTACTCCTCTTTCTCCTTCGACATTTCCATGCTCGAAGTATTTGCTACCCTGATGACGGGATCATGCCTCTGCATCCCATCTGAGGAGGATAGGATGAACAACCTTGCCAGCTGCATCTCCAGCATGAAGGTCAACTGGGCGATGCTGACACCTTCAGTTGCAAGCCTAATGGCTCCGGAGGAAGTTCCAAGCCTCAAAGTTCTGTGTCTCGTGGGTGAAGCATTACCGCAGGCTGTCGCTGACACATGGGCCGACCATGTCAAGACCCTCAATGCTTACGGTCCGGCAGAGTGCTCCGCTATCACTATAGTCAGCGAGCCAAGGACTAAGGGGTTGAAGAGCATTTCGCTTGGAAGACCTCCTAACTGTGCCGTCTGGATTGTCCGAGAAGACGGCCAGCTTGCTCCGTTCGGTACTGTTGGTGAAATCGTGATCGAGGGCCCGCCTGTTGCGCGTGGATACCTAGGCGATGAGGAGAAGACAAGAGCTGTCTTTTTGGATGATCCAGATTTCCTGCGTGGTGTCGTACGACAGCCAATGCGATGCTATCGCACTGGTGACCTCGGAAGGATGAACCTTGATGGGACTATCGACTTCTTGGGCAGGAAAGACACTCAGGTCAAGATCAATGGTCAGCGAGTTGAGCTTGGCGAGATTGAACATCAACTCAGGCAACTATTGAATTCCGAAAAGACAGCGTCGCCTTCTGGGACGAACTGGGAGTTAATAGTAGAGCTCCTACGCCCTCTTGGGGGAGAACATGGCATCCTCGCGGCATTCATCGCCCCGAAGACAATTTTCGGGACCCCCTTACTCGCAGAAGAGCAGCTTATTGTTGAGGAGTCTCGCTCTCTGTGGGCGACGATACATCGGAAGTTTTCGACAGCTACTGAGGAACTCGCCAATGCTCTCCCTGGATACATGATACCAAAGGCAGTTGTGCCATGCAGCACATTGCCCCTGTCACCGTCAGGCAAGGTCGACAGGAAGACGCTCCGCGCATACGGAAACGCATCGACGTCAAAACATCTGCTAAAAACGCCAAACAACAAGGAAGATTGTATGCCGGTTGAGGTTCCTAGGGCAATTTCTCAAGACTTCCCCGATAGCGAAGAGGATTCTTCGGTCGGACAGCACACGCTGATATCCGACACATACCCCTCAACCGAAGCTTCAATGTCGCTATGCGACCCTTCACAGTCTAGTTTCACACGAACTGAGAAGGCCCTACGGCTGGCTTGGTCAGAAGTTTTAGGTCTACCTGAAGACTCGATCCTCCTTGAAGATGATTTCTTTAAGCTCGGCGGAGATTCCATCGGGGCTATCAGGATCGTGGCAGCTTGTCGTAAGCAATCACTCCAGATCAATGTTGCGAACATCTTCCAGAACTCTGTGCTGAGCAAGATGGCTCTCGTTTGTAAGAGTACGATATCTGAGAAGCAAGCGGTGTCTCCTATCCAGTTCATTCCGTTCCACTTCCTGCGGCGAGAGGACATCACAGAGCTGCAAAGTGAAGCCGCTTTCCAGTGCGACGTCGCTGTAGATGAAATTGAAGACTTGTACCCTTGCACACACATGCAAGAGGGTCTGATGGCCGTCAATCTCACGCGACCAGGTAGTTACACTGGTCGATGGATCCATCCGCTACCTCGGGACGTCGATCTTGCGAGGTTCAAGAATTGCTGGGAGGATATCCATGCCGCATCACCGATACTGCGGACCAGGTTCGCAACGACGTCGACGGCTGGGTCTCTTCAAGCCGTCATCCGGGAGAAAGTACGGTGGCTCTTGCACGACGACCTCGAAGCATACCTCGAGCAAGACGATGCGAACCCAATGTTTCCCGGAGACTCGCTCAATCGCTTTGCTGTGATCACGTCGAAGTCTGGCGATGTGACGTTCGTGTGGACCATACATCACATGCTTTATGACGGCTGGTCCCTGGCAATGCTCTGTGACCGTCTCAATGATTTGTATCACAGCCGCGCTGTCAAGCCAGTAACTGACTACCGTAACTTCATCGAATACACTCAGAATATCACGGCAAAAACACATGCGAGTTACTGGAAGACAGAGCTACAGGGAGTGAGCCCGTCAAACTTCCCAGCGGCTCCCAAGCTTGGCCACCAGTCCTTCGCCCGAGCTGTGGTGCGCGATGATCTTCGAATCAACATCGATCAGTCTTCAGGTATCACCATGTCAACAATCGTTCGAGCGGCATGGAGTCTCATGATCAGCCATTTCTCCAAGTCAAACGACGTGCTCTTCGGCGCAACAGTCTCGGGTAGAAACGCACCATTGGACAATATCGAAAGCGTCGAGGGTCCGACAATAGCCACAGTACCTGTAAGAGTTCACCTCGACAAAGGGCGGGACATCCTCGACTTTCTGCGAAAGATCCAGGACCACGCCACCGCCATGATACCCTATGAGCAGTCCGGAATCCAACAGATCAAATCACTCAACGAAGACACTAAGCGCGCCTGCGAATTCCAGAACCTGCTCGTCATCCAGGCAGGCGGCGGCTGGGACGAGACTAGGCCTGGTCCCCTCGGGAAGCCGATCTATCGCGAAGAGTTTACCACATTTCCCGTGACATGCGAGGCATGGCTTCATTCTGGACGGATTGAGTTTGCGACGCATGTCGATGAAGATGTGACAAGTCGACTTTTCGTCGCTCAAGCCATTGAAACAGTCAAAATTGTCATGAGTCAACTCGCCTGGGCTACATCTGATAGCTACAGACCTTCTACGATTGCTGACTTGGCCTTTGAACCAACCTCTACACCTATCCAACGACAAGCTTCTCAACCCCTCGAAGCAAGTAAGGTCTCGGCCACGCTCCATCAACTCATCACAAAGATGAGTCTAACACAACCCCAGAGAGAAGCAGTAGTCTCAACAGCCGAGTCACTCTCTTACGGAGAGCTGGAAGATATGTCCACGACACTTGCCGTCCAACTTATCGACAAGGGAGTCTTGAAGGGAGACAAGATTCCACTGTGCTTCGAGAAATGTGTTTGGACTGTCGTTGCGATGCTTGGGGTCTTGAAAGCTGGCGCTTCTTTCGTGCCCTTAGACCCGAGTCAGCCCCTATCACGTCTACGAAAGATTGTTACACAGGTCAAAGCCAGAACAGTTCTCATGTCTGCATTCCAACATAAGGCAACTGATCTCGATGATGTTGCGTCCGTGGTTGTCAATCGGGATGCTCTTAACGGGATCTCCAGGCTCCAGCATCAACGGCAACCACCAGCTCAAGTGACCCCCGACAGTCCTGCATACATCATCTTCACTTCTGGTTCGACGGGAGATCCCAAGGGCATCATCATCTCCCATGCCGCGTTTGCTTCCAGCGCGATGGCCCATGGTTCCGTCTTCGGTATGAGCGATGAGCATCGCGTCTTGCAGTTCTCTGCATACAGTTTTGATGCCAGCCTTTTTGAGATTCTCACCACCCTCATCCACGGCGGAACCGTCTGTGTCGCCACTGAGAAAGAGCGATTCGAGAATCTTGGAGACTTTGCAAGCCACATGCGTGTCAACCTCGCGCTTCTCACACCATCGGTGGCTCGCATCGTTCATCCCACAGAGATGCCGTCTTTAAGAACTCTAGTGCTGGGCGGAGAAGCTCCCGATGAGGCGTTGATCAAGAAATGGCTTGACGCTGGACTGACTCTGTTCAACGCGTACGGCCCAAGTGAATGCTCCGTTATCGCTGCTTGCCATGCATGCACATACGATACAGACCCGAAATCCATCGGAAGCCCGGTCGGTTGCTCTGCGTGGGTTGTCGCCACAGATGATGACACGATGTTGGTTCAAAGTGAACAGGTTGGCGAGTTGCTCATAGGTGGTCCGACTCTAGCCGATGGCTACTTGAATGACTCTGAGAAAACAACTGCTACGTTTCTCTCGCGACTTCCATGGATATCTAGAGAGGATCAAATGAGCACAAATAGGTTGTACAAGACTGGGGATCTTGTGAGGAGAGCAACCGACGGAACTCTCGTTTACGTGGGACGAAAGGACCTCCAAGTCAAGTTGAACGGCCAGCGAATTGAACTCGGAGATATTGAGTCGCATATCGCTGGTTGCTGTTCCGTCAAGCGCGGTATTGTTGTCTTTCCCTCGTCAGGGCCATTCTCGAATCAAATTGTGGCAGTTCTGGAGCTCGAAGAAGAAGAGGGCGAGAGACCGTCTGGTCTCCACCATATCATGACTCGATTTAATATCGTTGCAGAGGAAGTTCGTCAAGAGTTGACCGGCAAACTTCCAAGCATCATGCTCCCGGCACACTTCATCGACGTTGCGACCCTCTCTGAGGAAAGATTTCCACTTTCGACCTCAAGCAAGGTTGACAGGAATAAAGTCACAACATGGATCCGAAATCTGTCCATCCGAGAATCTCAGATCCTCGACACTTCTGCACCGATACCGAGTACAGTAGCAACCATTCAGCCTCATGAGCTCCCCGCCTACGAGCTGGCACAAAAGATCACAGATTTGGTGTCTCAGAAAACCCTTTCGCCAAGGCCCCGACTGGACGGTTTCAACGATGTGCTGTTACAGACTTCAGGTCTAGATTCTCTCAACATGATGTCGCTCATGCATTTCGTTCGTCTCAAGTACAATGTCAGAGTCAGCATGCAGCTGCTCATGGATGAGAAAACAAGCATCAGGAAGCTGGCAGCTTTCATTACCCATGCAGTTCCCAACGGCCCAGTAACGCCGAAATCTTCGAACATCAACTCTGAGACTCGAGGGATCGATTTGATGAGTGAAATTGATCGTCATGATGCGGGGCTCCTGGAACTTCCAGGTATGCTGTCTAGAGATGCCCAAGGTAGTTTGACTAAGAAGACAGACAATCTCAGGGTTTTCCTTACTGGTGCAAGCGGATACCTGGGTACTCAAATACTGCGACAACTTCTGGAGCGGCGCGATGTTGCCCACGTCACCACTCTCGTACGCGGAGCTACACCTCAAGCATCGAAAGACCGTGTGATTGAAGCTGCACAAAGGGCTCTTTGGTGGACCGAGTTCCACGAGGACAAGCTGGACGTCTGGACGGGGGACCTCGCGAAGACTATGCTCGGCCTCGGCCAGAAACAATGGGACTTGCTAAGCGATGGACACACATTTGATATCATAATTCACAATGGTGCGATTGTCCATTGGAACAAGAGCTATGCTGCCTTGGAGGCGGTCAACATCCATTCAACAGTTCAGCTCCTTGGCATTGCCCTTCAGAATCCGGCCATGCGATTTGCATATGTGTCTGGCGGACGGCAGTGGAAGAGTGCCGAAGAACGAGACGAGGACATCGCGCGAGAGCTTTCGGACTCTATGGGCTATAGCCAGACAAAGTTCGTTGCCGAGGTTGTCGTCAAGAGAGCTGCGGAACGGTGTCCGGTCTCGCGGCGGAATATTGGCGTCTTTAGGCCTGGGCTTATCATCGGGACGCCCGCAGAAGGTGTAGCAAATTTAGACGACTACATCTGGAGGCTTACGGCTGCAAACATTGAGATGGGCATCTACAGTGCGGACGAGGAGCAGGCATGGCTGCATCTCTCCGATGCTGCTACAACTTCGGAAGCTGCCATTTGCACCGCCTTCAATCCAGAATCATCTACTAGTCCGGTGACACAGCATGAAGAAGGAATGACTTGGGGGACGTTCTGGACTTTGATCAAGGGCATGGGCTACGACATCCGTCCGACACGTGCTGCTGAATGGCTGTCAACAGTCAGAAACGATATCTCGCGTCGGAAAGAGGAGCATCCCCTTTGGCCGCTGGCTCACTTATTCGAAAACGGTAGCATGGAATGGGAAGAGGTGGCCAAGAGCCACAATATGTGTCCGTTGCAGCTCAAGGTGGCTTTGAAGAAGAACGTGGACGCTCTTGTGAGGGTGGGTTTCCTGCCGGCCACGCGTCGAGCCCAGGAAGTTCAAGTTGTCGGGGGCACATTTCATAGGAAGTGAGTGAGCCGGATGCCTTGTGTGCAATTATGGAGTTACGGGATTGAATTTTTCAAAGATAGAGTTGCCTAGAGCAACACGCAAGCTGTCAGCGCGAGGCGTTGTGGTTGCAGCATGAGTCGGCGGCTTGTTGTTCCATGTGTATCAAGTCTTACTTGACTTATATCTTGGCGCGTAATGTCGCTACTGAGATGAGACCCCTGTGCCGGTTGTGGTGACGTAGGTGGTGCACTATCGCGAGGTGAGATGGTTGGCTTGTCATTCACGCCCTTGTACAACCAATGGCAGCCTAAAAGTATTGAGAAAATTAAAAAAGTCGTTCATCTAATCTATTTACCTCAGTCTCCAGAAACCTTCAACTTGGTTCATCTCAAAATCATAAACTTCCCGAGGATCACAACCTTTTCTGCACGACAATGAACGACTCAGTCACTATCAAGGCACAGTGCATGTGTAAAGCACACACATTCTCCGCTTCACTGCCCAAATCCGCACTGCCGCTCAACGCGTCTTGCTGTCACTGCACGTCGTGTCGCCGACTAACTGGATCTCTCTACAATCCTGCCGTCTCGTGGCCAGACGCCTCTGTAGACCTATGTGGCTTGCGGAAATATCCGTTCTCAAAACACTTTGATGTTTATTCGTGCGGTACCTGCTCGTCGCAGCTCTTCGCCCGTGGTCACGATCCCAGCATCGCTCCTTATGTCACAACCGGCGCTTTGGGGAACATCCCTGGTCTCGTCAAATATGACAACCACATGTTCATCAGCGACACCATCGATGGCGGCCTTGCGCCCTGGCTTCCGAAAGAAGAGAATGGAGACCCGGTTAAGCGCTGGAAAGGGCATCGCAACAGCGAAGAGGTTCCATTCGACTGGCCGGTCAGCAAGTCTATCCCTACCGCTCGGCTGCATGCTAGTCCTTCTCCATCGTCGACACTGTTCCATTGTCACTGCAAGGGCGTCCAGCTATCGCTGAGAAGCGCGGCGGACTTGGAGGCGGACCCGGCGAAGGAATCGACCTCGACGTGTGTGGATCCCAAGACGCTCAAGTTCAAGGCATGTTCCGACTCGTGCAACTCTTGCCGCCAACACTTCGGCTCAGACATCATCGCCTGGACCTTTGCTCCTCTCACACACATCAACTTCAGCACTGAGGCCGCATCCGCGCCGTCACAATTTCCACAGACAATCGTTAAACTCAAAGAAGCAGTTCTATCCAAGACCAAAGACCCACGCCTCGGAACATTGGCGGTTTACAATAGCTCTCCTGAGGTAGAGCGGTACTCCTGTTCAGTGTGTTCAGCCAGCATATTTTACGCCGTTTATGACCGTGAAGATATGGTTGACATTGCAGTTGGACTGTTGGACCATCCGGATGGCGCACGTGCTGAAGGATTGTTGGCTTGGAATTATGGCCTGCTTGGGTGGACAGGGGATGCGGCAGGCGGATGGCGAGAAGAACTAGTTGCAAGAACGAAGACCTCAATGAAGGAGTGGTCCAACTCCTTGAACGAGAATCAGAGTAACAACGACTAGGGAGCAGGTCAGGAGCATCTGAAGGAATTTCGAAGCCCTCGATTGCCGGACAAAGAGGGGGCTGATCGAGGTTGGCGAAGACCTGGAAAAAAATCGCAGCGCGACACGCAAGGCTACAAGATCAACACTGCGAGAGAAAAGACTATCCAATCATCAGCGTCGATGGTTTAGTGGTAAAATTCTCCGTTGCCATCCAGCAGCGTCGGGGAGCCGGGGGTTCGATTCCCCCTCGACGCATACTTTTGGTTTTTGATGATAGAAAATGTCGTGCGAAGAGCTATGGTGGTCGGCGACGTGATCAGCTTGCATTTTTACACTTTGTTCACTGAGGTGGCTCTTGACAGTTGTATTTCATGCCCCGATAACCCTTTCTCTTTGTTTCCTATCAGTATCTTCCTAAGTATGTTATTACCATAAGCGAAAGACAGAAAGCTCTCTATTTGTGATCGTATAATCACTCGGCACCGCCATCGTTGACAGAAATAGATTTCCAAGACCTTCGGTAGCCAGGAGGGAGTTGTATATGATTCCGATGGGCGATGCAGCAAGCATTACGGAGGTACCGTTGCTAACAGATAAGAGCTTCGGTGCCAGCCTCATGAGCCTCAAGCCCTCCATGGATGGCTGCCACCTATATTTGACTTCATTCGGCGTGTAAAGAGGATCTTCCGCTGGCTTGAGAATGGTTTCGTCGATATCTTCAGGGAATGGCATTGGATGCCGCGTGCCCGTGTCCAACAAAACTTGCAAATTCATAAGCTGCGTGATTGAAGCATTGTAGATGATGAGCTCGGCAGCCTGTTCCGGTGTCTTCACCTCGATTGGCCTAGACGCCAACGTCTTGGCCCAAGGCAATAAAACATCTTCCACCTCTTCGTTAAGAGGCATATCAGCTTCTCTTGCAGCATCTGGATTGTCGCACTTCCAGCGCCATCTCCAATCACGTAGATCCCTGAGAAGCTGATCAATCTTGTCACGGGCGGCCTCTATCTCGTTGTTGAATAACGGTCGATTGCGTGATGCGATGGAAAGAGTGAGACCGGGAATATCGACGAAAATGTCCATCAGCAGGTCGTGGGAGGTCTTGGATATATATCGCCATGGGATAGTTTTCCACCTCGTTTTTTCAAAGAAAGAGTGATCATGTTCATTGAAGGAGTTGCACGCCTGACGCCACAGTCAATTCCATCAGTACATATATAGACCACAAGTATCTAGGAAGTCAAAGAACAAAGCCCGGAATTCTCTTACATGAAGTGCCCGAATTTGGCGTAGATAGGTCAACATTGGCTCTTGCTGAAAGCACTCTGGCCCACACATTTCTATAATTTTCGACATGCCGTAATAGTGAGGAACGTTGGGCACGTTCTCTACCGCATACTGTATTTGTTAGAATAGGGACTGTAACAATAGGCGCGTGCTTTTGACCGAAGTTCCTTTTCAAAGACTTACTTGGTAAAGACTAAGGATAATGATTGTGAAGGCCCACCTCGCCAACTCCTGATTGGACTTCGCTGACACAGCGTGATGTAACGCTCTGATTACCTTGCCATTCAACTCGTAGCCCTCGGCCACCATGCTCGGCTCGTTGACAGAATGTCCCATGAAGCCGAGCGCGGTCGCCAGGCTTCCCGTATAATCGGCTCTGGCCACATCTGAATCTAGCTCTCCGTCTAATGACATTCGAAAGAGAGGTTTCCAGAACGGAGCCCAGCGGTAGTGCGCTACAAGATGGGAAAAGGCCATCCGGTTACGAAAAGCTGTGAATGGAAGCTCTGGGACGATGTTCTGGTGAATGACAGTGCTCGAGCTCGTGTTTGAGACTCTGACTAGTTGTTGACTACCACCAGCATCTCCAGTGGCGGCAAAGTTTTGCATGCGGAGAGGCAATTCGTAGCCCAGACATTTGTGGCCGGATTTCAGACATCTCTCGCATGCAGGTCGAGCTTTGTCTAAGTGTTTCCAGGTGCGTGTAAGTGACATGACTGTTATGAACTGAGGTGGACAGGCTAGAGTTGTCACAGAAAAAGCAAGACTGACATACCACACTTGACCCGTCTTCGTCGACAGGTATGACAGTAGCCGCTAGTTGGAGGACGTCCCATGGCAAAACGTTTCGTTGGGTGAAGTTTGTTCAAATCAAGTAAGAATGTTTACGATGGCTTTGTCAACTATGGGCCCACCGGCAACGCTTGCGAAAAAGATTCAAGAAATCTGTCGTCGAGGAAGTTTTCTAAAGAGAGACGGACTTAGCATAATATAGCGCTTTTGAATCAATAATGAAAGAGAGACCCCCAGTCTTGGATGTTGTCGAATAGGCCTAATCATATTGTCCCAATATCCAAATATCAGAAGGCCCACCTCTGTCTTCAGTGCCGGACATCACGGAGACGTGGGGCGGAAGAGATCGAGTAAGCAGAGCGAGCGGCAAAATCCACTTGGTCTCGCGCGCGCGCTGCAAGTAACAAGGCAGTTTTAGACTATTTAGTCATCCTAGACGGCGTAAGGTAAGCCGCACTCTAATTCTCTTCAGTTCTGATGCATCACTTGGCAGCAGCCAGTGGGGGCTTCGGACTTCCTGTTCATTGGCCAGGCTCATGCTGACTGCAGCTTGATTTGGTTCTTCGTTTTCTAGTCCAATCATAAAGACGTATTTAAACATGCACGCAAAGACCGCCACGGGTACTTTTTAAGATAATCACGAGATTGTATGCCGAAAAGAGGCGCCGGTCTCATCGGTGCCTCCAGTCACTTCGTTGCCTTCATGGGTAATGACAGCATCGTTGCGATGGATTACAGTTTGACATCAGCCCGTATTTGATTGTTTACCTTTTTCGTGTTGTCATTCCTTTGTTGGCATATTACATTTGTCGGCGATGTTGGAGGTTGATCGATGATCCACCGGAACTTCTGATGAAGGACTTATTATGCATTCGATAAGCATTTGGTCAAGATGATCTGCACATTTGATCATAAACATTCACCAAACGTATTAGGCTGTTCTATTTTGGAAGGTTCAGGGGTCAATGATATCCTGGTGAAACGATGAGGTGATACCTGCTAGATCCTCAAGTAGCCATATTGCCTGCAAGACCTGGAAGGCTGGGTTGGCAGGGATGAGGAAACAACTATAAAGAAGTGGATTTCAGCTATTGATGCTGAATCTCTGATAATCCCTTGGGGGCTTTCTGACATACTCATGGGTGGCTTGGTTCTCCACAATGAACACATGTGCTAATTAACTGATTCGGATGTGGCTACGAACTAACTTCCACTGCCGAGGCACACACATCGAGGAACCATCGGCCAATATTTTCCTCCAAACCTTCAAACAATACTCTGAGGGTATGAATGTGTATTTTCATACATCCTCCTCAACCAACACTCCGAGCAGCGGGTAGACTGTGGTCACAGTCTTTCATGTGCCGCAATGGCCAAGAGCAAGCTAGGAGTACTCAAGTTCAATGGGGGAAGGCTGCATCTAAGTACGACTGTGTGAATGCGGGAGCAGTAGTCTCAATAGGGTCTTTCAGCTTAGACATAGAGCCGAATAAGTCTTGTACTAATATCATTGATCACGTGTTCCATCTCTTGAGCACAAATAATGTTCGCAGCTGAACTTGATGGAATCAAGGCTCTGCCAAAGTCCTTCCTTCATGAAATAGTTTCTGGCAGTCAGGCAGAATATCAAGACGACCACGTTGACTTTTCTATCAACATCATTGACGCAAGCCTGCAAGATCATCCATTCGGGCTAGCGCACCGGCAAAGTCTTCAGTCATGTAAAAGTCACATGCATTGCATGGCTGATATACTTGACATATAGTGAGTAGTAAGTACTGGCATACCCGAGAACTACGAGTTGGTAGACTCAACATTTGATGCTGGGCAAAGAGATCTCCACTACTCGCAACTAAAAGGTAAGTCCTGCAAGTGAAAAACTGGAGTTTCGTCTAAACTTCGAGTTGTGAAGGCGCTGGACGGATACCATCGCAGAAGCGCTCGCGTTTATTACTCCCTCAAACTTCACCCAGACGGATGTCACTAGCAAACTAGTATCCGCTATCAATGGTGGCACCGCTAAGTACTTCCCACAGGATACTAATCGAACTGTTAAAGGCGCATACTCGAAACAAAGACAGCAAATTCTGCAAATGCAACAATGTAATTCCACGGCCGACTTGGGGCTTATTTATGGGGACGGTGGACGCTCAACAGTGAATATCTTGATGCACCCCTTAAGCCATGGGACTATTGGAATTAACCTCATCGACCCCTTCGCGCCCCGATCATTGAACCCTCGCTGTCTCTCCCACCCTTACGATGGGCAGGCGTTGGTTGAGTCACTACGGTCAACCCAAGACTCCTGGCCACGCAGCAAGTTCAAGCTCTCGGAGCAACGGAAACGCTGCCTCGGGTCGGTACACTGAGCGATTCTGACATTTTGGTTTTCATTTGGGAGACAACTCTATATAGTATCGCTTTACTAGAACCTGCGCTATACTTCCGAGGCCACTTGGTGTTGTCGTGGATTCGACCTTAATGTGCATGGGATCGATGGCTTGAGGATAGTCGATGCTAGTATCATGCCTTTACTTCCATCGGCGCATACCGAGACGACGGTCTATGCAATCGCTGAAAAGGTAAAACTGAGCCCCTACGCATGGAATGGCTCGAATGTGAGCGAAACTAGTGCAGTGACTTTAGTGCTGACTGGCTTCTCTCACACAGGCAGCGGATTATTTTACAGCAAAATTCTCGATGGGCGTGGTCAAAGAAGGATTACTTGAAGACGAAGAAATAGACGAAGGGACGTTGGACAACTGTCTTGTCGTGCTATTCATTGGCTGATAGCTCCTCTACTCACTCAAATTCCCTGGGTTCGGCGGCGCGGAAAGTCTGTTTTACTTCTGTGACTGGTGCAACCTGCTGTTACATTTGCAATGACTTGTCAACCCTGTCTATCGCTAGACATGTCGTAATTAAGGAGGTGCTCGCCCACTCTCACCTGGGACATCTGACTGGCATTGAGTGCCCCGAATTCTCATCATGATCATTTCTCAGAAAATGATTGCAGGCACAGCCGTTCATGGCTTGTGGGAGTTACGGACAGAAGAATGGCAGACAGGGGAGGGATGGAAAATGGAAAATCCTTGTGTGCACCAGAGGGCTGGGCCGGAATAGCGGTGCCGTCTTCTGCATGTCAGCATATCCCGCCGCAAGGATGTGCTACTCGAACCAATGATGACCACTACCGATTCTTGCGAACAGGGGACTGAGGCCCCTCACCGACCGACTTCACCAACCAGCTGGGACGATGACTTCAGCCAGCTGGCCATTGTGCCTAGTGCTTACTCCGGGGCTGAGTTGCTGGAATAAGTCTTCCAGATCTGCTGTTCCAATATTGAGCATTCAATATCCTGATGTTGGAGAACGGCTCCTGCTTTCTTTTTGTTTTCCTTTCGAGCTACAACTAAATCTTGGGTTGGAGCGATAGGGTTCTGGGCCTGCTTTGCTAATTCCACTAGACTGGTAGATGGCGTCGGGGCAGACCTTAGTTTAGCTATAATCTGGCACAGATGATCGAATGAGATGCCAACAACTTTCAGCACTAGCATATCCGCTAGAAGTTCATATGACCACCACGCTCCATCGAGCGGGAGAGCCTTACGGCCCTGGTCTCCCAAGACCATTTGAATCATTTGTCGCGCTTGTTCCATTATGGAGAACTGCAGGGGTTACACGTGATACTTGCACCTGCGCAAGGGGCTGATTTTGGCTGCCTAGCTGAACTACATTTTGTCTCAGCCAGGCTCGGATCAGGCTGGCTGCCAGCACTGGAGAAAACCCTTGATAAATCAGGCTCTCTGCTAATCTCTTTCTCCTTCAATATCCCAAGAGAGTTTGGGTCTCGATACTGACTGTATTTGCATCTTGGGGGCTCAATGTCCCTTTTCACAATCGTTCCGAGTGCCTAGAGGAGCAACGTCAACTGCCTGCATGCAAGGGATCCCACCAACATGTCGTCATCTGACCCCACAAGCTCATCCGGCAGCGACAGTGACAACAATGACAATCAAGTTGAGTTGATTGTAGCGGTCGTGGCCTTGGTTATTTCAGTTCTCGCCTTCATCATTGCAATTTTCCAGGCCCTCCAACAATACTACGCGTCGGCAACGGGCTATTCATCATGCACTCCAAAAGTCATGGGAGATTGGGCGAGGTTCACACGACGACGGTTCAAATGGTACGAGTTCCGCTTTGAGGTGGAATTCGAAGTCCCCGTCATATTCGTTGCGCCGCCGACGAACCCGCGGGGGCCCCTCGGCGTGCACGACGACAAGGAGATTACCTACATGACCGGAACGACAGACAGTTACAAGAAGACGTATACCTGGGACCAGGACGAGTACGACAAGCATTCCAAAACTTTGCGGGCTGGGATGACGCGCCAAGCTATCCACACCGCCGACAACGAGCTCGCAAACTGGACGAGTCTGCTGATGGCTATTCAGCGTATGGAAAGGGAGTCTCGGACCTGGCAAGACAAGGAGTATTTCGGATACAACCCTCAATGGGAAGCCCAGACACCATGTCACCCGACCCAGTCCAGCACCACGGTACCCTACACCCTTACCGTCGGCATGCAGAGGAAGAAAAAGTCCTGGGATAGTATGCCAGACAACATGAAGAAACCTTACGCAACGACAACGATCTCACATCTGGTGGAAATGGCGGCAATGTTAGGCGTTCACTGGAAAGAGTTTAACCGAAATGAAGACCGTTACCGCGGTCAAGGCAATGGATTCAGCATCACCGGCTACGATGTCGACGATCTCGGTGTTGTTTTTACCTTCGAGAAGACTGGTCCGACTTGGTTTCACGAGAACAGGGTAGTGCCGAACAATAAGGTCAAGGAGCTTTGCTTTGGATACTGTCCAACGATTTTCCGCCAGCAGAACAACGACAACTACAAGTACGCGGACGAACCAAAAGATATCGGAACGCTACAGCTTGGCAGCATGTCGGCTATTGCAGAGACTCTGGTGGTGATCGGTTGCAACACTAACACCGTCCGGCATTTCCGAAAGTCTACTCCTGATAC